GCGCGTGCGCGCGCTCAAATAGTGAGCATTTCTTTGTGTATTTAACCCAGTGCCTGAAACAGGATGTGTGTGTGAGCTGAGAGTACGGCCCTTAGGATCTGAACTGCTTGCCCTTCCTTCATTTCCGGGTAATCCTCTGCAAACCTCGAAGGGCTATTCACACCCCACTTGACAGATGTAGACCCTGAGGCCAAACAGCTTGCACACAGCCAGGTGGTCCACAACCCAAGCCTGCCTGAGCCCAAAGTATGCTTCCACATGGCAGCCTGGACCACCCCATGGAAAGGTGTGGTGGCTCACAGAGTGTTTTACTACAAAATCCCACCTGCATTTCAAAGATGCTTTTTGGATAAAAATTCAAACACCCAGCTTCTCTTAAAAATGGTAAGGCCAGGCCCCTGGTTTCACAGTCTCCTACTCAGCAGCTCTCAGCGGGAACTGAGTCCAGGTGCCAGGACTGCCCAGTTCAGCTGCTTAGTTATAAGGCCTGTACACTTTTGAATTGGTGATCCCTCCCTTGCAGGAGCCCTGGTTGCAGAGTGGTTAAGCACTTACCAGCTCAAACCTACTAGCTGCTCTGAGGTAGAAAGATGTGGCAGTCTGCTTCAGGAAAGATACACCCACAACCACTGCCATCTCGTCAACTTTGAGTCACAGTAACCCCACATAGGGTTTCTGAGCTTATAAAGCTCTAAGGGAGTAGAAAGTCTCATCTTTCTTCCTCAGAGCAGCTGGTGGATTTGAACTGCCAACCTTGGCCTTAGAGGTCCAGTGCTTATCCTAAAGCACCACCCAGGCCTTGGAAAACATATGAGGCAGTTCTATATGGACTTAAGGTGTGGCACTGTGAATCATCACTGGACTGTGATAAGGTCAGCAGTTCAAACCCACCAGTTCAAACCCACCAGTTGCTCCTTGGAAATCCAGTACAAGGTCACTATGTGTCTGACTCAGTGACACTTAGCAACAACAACACAACTCTGTCCTTTAGGGGTGAGCAGCTTTTTTTCCTCACGGCAGCAGATGTATCACAATTATGGAGTGCACTTTTTGCACACTCATTATATATGCTAGGCACTGTGTTAGCCTCTTGATTCACTCACTGAAAGCTTTTAGGTGGACCTGTGAACTGACTGACCCCTTGGACAGGTGAGGAAATGCAAACACAGAGACGTTAAGTAACTTGCCTGCCGTTACAGGTGGATGAAATGGGATTTGAGCTCAGGCAGTCTGGCTCTAGTGCACACTCTTAATCATTACCCTTTCCTCTTGTCAAACATTTCTTTTACTGGTTAAATGCTGTATTTTGTATTTTTTTAAATACCTGTTTTAAAAATTCAATGCATAAGAAAGTCCTAGAAAGCCTATGGGACTTATAAATGTTGTTGTTAAGTGCCATCGAGTCCGTTTGACTCACAGCGACCCTGTTTGGGGTTTCTGAGGAGCAGCTGGTGAATTTGAACCCCTGACCTTGCAGTTCAAACTGACCTTGCGGTCCAGTGCTTATCCTACAGTAGCACACCAGGACTCCAGAGCTTGGTATATGACTGCTACTTTAAAGTATGTAGAAATACTCGAGTCTTTCTAAAGTGAAATCAGACAATTCACAAAAGCACCTCTCACACTGCAGTGTGAGTTCAAGAAAGACTGGCTGGCATACTTATGGTCATGTCTATTTCAGCAATGAGAAGGCATCTCAGAGCGTTCTTTCTTGAGATTTGCTCCCCGAAGGCCCCATGTGTAAGGGCCCTAAGCCCACTGCTGTCAATTCACAGTGCACAGTCCAGTGATGATTCACAGTGCTACACCTTAAGTCCATATAGAACTGCCTCATATGTTTTCCAAGGCCTGGTGGTGCTTTAAGATAAGCACTGGACCTCCAAGGCAAGGTTGGCAGTTCAAATCCACCAGCTGCTCTGAGGGAGAAAGATGAGACTTTCTGCTCCCCTAGAGCTTTATAGGCTCACCATTTTAAATCTGTCTGGAAGTATCTATACTGGGAAGAGATTTCTTTTCAGTTTAAACATCCACAATTTTGGTTTTATCAGGGAAATTTTTAATAAAGACTCTGTTGTATGTAGCTTCAGCTATTTGCTTTTTCTTTTAATACCTGTCATTTTTCACCTGCCTGTGAAAATACTGCTCTTTAGCTTCATTTTGGTGGCCAGTAGGATTCGCTGCTTCATTCACTCCTTTGCACATATTTAAGCACCGACTGTATGCAGGTGCCCCTGGGAAAGCAGGGTGACTAGGATATCTTCCTCCCACAAGGAGTCTAGGGAAGAATGGAGGTGGGGAGGTGACACACGTACCTTAATGACCATTAATATGAGGTGCAAGAAGAGAGGAGGTGCAATATGAAATGTCTGCCAACAATGCTGGGATACTCGGAGGAGTGTCATCCAGGAAGGCTTCCTAGAGGAGGTGGCTTCCTACCCTAGAAGTCTGTGACTTTTGTATCTTTTTAAAAAAAATCACACTGCAGGTACCTTGTAATCATATACCTCATCTCTTTGGGTTCTAACCTTTTGCTGGGGAGAGACTTATTAGAACAGGGTTCCTACAACCCAGCTGTGCCCAAGAACCTACAAGCTGCCCCCAGGCTAAACCCATTCATCATCCCTTTTCTCTCTGGCCTCTTTGAGAATAAGATCCAAAGCCACCGTGGACTGTCCAGTCATCCAGAGATATTCCTGACCAGAAAGACAAGCTGGCCACCACATGCTAAGTCCAGCACACACTGGCCATGGAGTGCTGGCCCTGCCTTGAATTCATCACCAACATTTAACAAGGAGAGTTCTTGTAAATGTTTAGATTCCCAACTTCTCTTGGAAATTCAGTGAGGTAGCCATAAGCCTGCATTCTTGCAGGGCAGTGGCCAGGCAGGGTGGGCATGGACTCTCCGGGGACTTCAGTACCCCCTGCCCATTCTCTATTTCCTCTGCCTGCTTAGCCCCTTTAGCTTTTGAGTTTGCCACTCCCACCCAAACTCCAGTCCACCTCTCCTCTGTTCTTTCTCTTTGTGCACCAGGCATGTACATCGGGGGGCTGAACGTCAAGGCCAGGCACAGGGTCCTGGTGTGTAGGAGAGCAGGAGGGGACAGCAGGGGAGCAAGGAGGGAGTAGAGAATGAAGTTGGACAGGAAGCAGATGGGCCACTGAGAGCCATAGAAGGTGCTGGGCAGAGGAGAGACAGACTGCATTAGACTCCTTCAGGACTCCTCTGGCTGTGGATAGAGAGTGAATGGTCAGGGTAAGGGCAGAAGCAGGGAGTCTAGAGAGGGGATGTCCAAACAGGAGAGGAGGACTGGGCCAGGTGGGGGCAGTAGACATGGACATAGCACGTGAGGTGTCCAGATGCTGGATTTGTTTTAAAGAAAGAGCCAAGTGGAACTAGATGGTGCCCAGCTACCACTACTGACTGCTCTGATCATGATTGCAACAGAAAATCTTGGGAAGAGTGGAAGAAAAACATTAAAAAAAATTTCTCAATCGGAAAGACCAGGCTTACTAGCCTGTTAGAGACTGATAGGACCTCTGAAACTATGACCCTTAGACGCCCTTCAAACCTAAAACTGAACCCACCCCCATAGATCACCCCGCAGTCAAACAACAGACAGACTTATACAGTGAACACCTGTGAGGAATGTACTCCTCAGAACAATCAACCATATGGCACCCAAAGGGCAGTATTTACACACACACATAAGAAAGTTCAAAGGACAGAAAGGGGAAAGAAAGAAGGACAAATGGAAACAACTCAGGGAGGACGTGCTATTACAATGAGGGGATGGTCATAACTAATGTCACAAAACAAAATGTGCAAAAACTGTTGAATGGAAGACTAACTTGCTCTGTAAATTTTCATCTAAACCACAATAAAAATATTTTTAAAATTTTTTTAAAATTTAAAAAAAAGAAAGAGCCAAGAGGATTTCCTGTAGTTAAAGATGTGAGAGAGCAGGCTTCAGGATGAAATCAAATCTCTTATCATGAGCAAATGTTGTTGTTCAGTGCCATCGAGTCGGTTCCGACCCTGTACAGGGTTTCCGAGGGTGTAAATCTTTACAGGAGTAGAAAGCCTGATTGATCTTTTCTCCCGCGGAGCAGCTGGTAGTTTCGAACCGCTGACCTTAAGGTTCGCAGCTCGATTCGTAACCACTACGCTACCAGAGCTCCTAGAAGGATGGAATTGTCAATAGCTAAGCAATTCAAGGCACTTAACAACATCAACAAACAAGGGGAAGTTCGTGGATGTTGTAAACGGTTAACACTCACCTGCTCACAGAGAAGTTAGAGGCTTGTGTCCACCCAGAGGACACATCTACTTCCGAAAAATCAGCACCCTACCAAAATAATTTTTTTTAATCCAGGCCTGTGCTATCAAGTCCACTCCAATTCATAGTGACCCTAATGGACAGCATAGAACTGCCCCCACGGGGTTTCCAAGGCTGTCTTTCTCCTGTGGAGCAGCTGGTGGGTTAACAAATGAGTACTTTAACCACTGTGCCACCAGAGCCCCTTCCAAAAGATCACAGTTCTACACTGACACACATGGAAGGTTGCCAAGAGTTGGAGCTGACTCAACTGTGGCTGTTTTTCTAAAGAAGGGAAAGGCACAGGCAGGCACGTTTACAGGAGAGTGAGAGACCAACCAGCTACCTGGGGGCAATGATGAGGAGGCAGCCAGGCCTAGGGGCAGGAATTTGTTGGCCAGGTCTGGGCTGGAGAACGGTCAGTGTGGAAGTGGCCCTTGGAGCCCCAGACCCAGGTGCGGTCATCCAGGGAGTGGGCATAGCTGGCAAGGACAGGCCATGTGACAGGAGAGGTGTTCAGGCAGCCAGTGACCTCTGACCTTCTCCCCGCAGGGCCGCTGCTCCCGGATGTGCCACAATGTGTTCATCGTGGAGTCCGTGTGCGTGGGCTGGTTCTCCCTGGAGTTCCTCCTGAGGTTCATCCAGGCGCCCAGCAAATTCGCCTTCCTGCGCAGCCCGCTGACGCTCATCGACATGGTGGCCATCCTGCCTTACTACATCACTCTGCTGGTGGACGGCACCGCCGCAGGCCGCCACAAACCTGGCACAGGCAACACTTACCTGGACAAGGTGGGGCTGGTGCTGCGTGTGCTGCGGGCACTTCGCATCCTGTACATGATGCGCCTCGCCCGTCACTCGCTGGGCCTGCAGACGCTGGGGCTCACAGCCCGCCGTTGCACCCGCGAGTTTGGCCTGCTGCTGCTCTTCCTGTGTGTGGCCATCGCCCTCTTCGCCCCACTCCTCTATGTCATCGAGAATGAGATGGCCGAGAGCCCCGAGTTCACCAGCATCCCCGCCTGCTACTGGTGGGCTGTCATCACCATGACCACAGTGGGCTATGGAGACATGGTCCCCAGGAGCACCCCCGGCCAGGTGGTGGCGCTGAGCAGCATCCTCAGCGGGATCCTCCTCATGGCCTTCCCCGTGACCTCCATCTTCCACACCTTCTCCCGCTCCTACCTGGAGCTCAAACAGGAGCAGGAGAGGCTGATGTTCCGAAGGGCCCAGTTCCTCCTCAAAACCAAGTCACAGCTCAGCAGCATGTCTCAGGACAGTGACATCTTGTTTGGCAGTGCCTCCTCGGACACCAGAGACAACCACTGAACCCAGAGGGCACTCTGCCACCGCCGCCAGGACAACCCCTGCCCACCCACCCTCTGTGGCTTGACGCTATTGCCGCCCAGAAACCTGCAAAGGGACACACCGCTTCCAGGGCTCTCACTGGCATGGATCCTAGGAGGACACGTCACCATCTGCAGAGAGGTCTCTGCCCCTCCAGAGCCACAAATGAGACAGGTCCCAACTGCCCGCCCAGCCCTGATGTTTGTTTCCCTTGGCAAGGGGATGACTTGTTGGTTTTCTCACCGTGTAAATAATGTGCCCAGCAAAACCATGCTTTACGGAGCTGCCTGGAGAAAAAAATAACAAGCCAACAACAACATGTCTGTCTGTGTGTGGCTCATATCCGGTTAATGAAAACCAGTAAAAGAGAGCTTTTCCAAACACAGGTCTGAGAGGGAAGTGTATGTCACAGTTCCTGGGTGGTACCGTGGAGCCCTAGTGACACAGTGGTTGGAGCGCTCCACTGCTAACCTATAGGTTGGTGGTTTGAATCCACCAGTCAGTCCTCAGAAGAAAGATGTGGCAGTCTACTTCTGTCCCCAACCACCACCAATTTCCCTCTCCATGCTTGATTGTCTTCGTGGACACAACCTCAAATCACTTTGTTTCTCTCTCGCTACCTCCCACACTGGAGGTCAGCGCCAAACTAGCTGACCTCAGCCTGACGCCAAGGCCATGCCAGGGCCTGGCACCTAGTAGGTGCCCAACAGACATGTGTTGAATGAAAGGAAGCAGGAAGGAAATGGGAAAGAAAGGAAGGTGGTCCCTAACATTCAGCCCTGCGAGGCTTGGAAACAGACCCTCTGACTCTCAGGCCCAAGCTCTCTCTTTCTAGCCCCATCCCCACTCTCTCCCTGCCTCCCTCTCTCTGCCCTCCCTTCCCGCCTGCCTCATCTCTCTCTCTGACCCCTCTCCTGCTTCCTCTTCTTGCCCCACTTTCCCTCTTTCCTCTCTTCTCTCTCCCTTTCTCCTCCCCTTTTCCCTTATCCCTA